GCATTCTGCGTCACACAGTCTGGTGCACTGACTCACTGTGACTTGAGCAAGCTGCAGGGGCAACTTGATGTTAGTCTCGCTCTCTCTCCTAGATGCACTCGGTAGTACGAACGTTATTCGGACTGTACCCTTAAGAGTGCCGAGTTTGGTACCCAACCCTAGCGCTCAGTGACATGACATTAGTTCTTCATGATAGTCTCCGGCAACTTGGTTGAATACTGTGTTAATAGTGTTAATGTTAGTAATTTTAAGTTTTTTAAATAGCATACGTTTTAATCTTTGGGCTTGGAGGAATGTAAAATGTATTTTAAAGTAAAAAGGAACGTAAGGAAAGAGGAGCATTTCTCAAACCAATTGACTGATTATTACATGTACATGAATACACACAAAATTCGATTCTCATTTAAAATTAAATACTTTATACCGTGTTATCTTAGAGTAACAGACACTTTAATTAAGTAAATCTGATGTTGGCCATGGTCTACGCTCACAGTGGAGATTCAATAGTGGGCAATGGACTGGTCATAGCTCTTTCTCACCTCATGGTTCAGCAACTTGAAACTCTGAATGCGATCTTTGACTGGCTTACACTTGCTCACACACACGCTCCTTGTTTTTGTATTGGCTTTGATAAAAGGGCTGGGAGGTGGGGAAGGGAGTAGCGGAGTGTGTCAGCTCCAGGAGTAGGCTTACTGTGCTGGGAGATGCACTGGGCCATTACACATGACCTCTGACCCCAGCAGGCACCCTGAGGTGAAATGACGCGGGCCTGGTTTTACTCAGCTGGAACAAGGGAGAGGAGGGAGGCACAGGGTGACTGTGTGCGTGTGTTGTTAGCAGTTGTGTATATGCATATGTGTTTACGTGTGTGCATACATGCACTGATGTGTGAGCAGTGTTCACGCATCCCACCCTTCATAAAACAGACACACCACCAGTCCGGTCCCAGGCACACTGAGAGCTGCAGGCCTGTCCTGTGGCTATGCAAATGTGACAGGGGTGTAAAATATGAATTTTAATCACAGCCACCTCCCTCCAATTACCAGCCAGTGACCCTGACGAGGATTTGTCTGCAATAGGGATGAGGGAATGACAAAAACACATACAAAAACCTATGCCATCTTTCTTTTTAACAGAAAATGCATATGTAACAGAATACTAAAATCTATTGAGGTTTGTGCAAGGCATCATGAGTGTTGTATACATTTTAGTTTAACAACCTCAGTCACAGAAATGAGACTGTTACAATTAAGCTTTTGGCAAAGTAGCTGTCCGTTTTGATGTGTAGTGGAGGGCGTTTCCCTGTGTTCCTGTGCCAAATGTGCACATTTAATGTCACAGCTACAGTCCATGGAGTTTAATTGCAGATATGTAAAACATCCAAAATAAGCATTGGCTTTTGCTCAGTCTGAGTGTCTCAGAATCAAAGCACTCTTCATCATTTTGATCCAAATTTCAATTACAAATGACGAGAGAATAATCCTCTACTTACAGCCTCAAAGCTATGCCAAAATGCATTACAGCCAGACACAAATTTGTTTTTTACAGATGGACCCTTGTGTTTTATTGTTCTTTCTACTGACATAAAATGTGAATGAAACAAGTTCACGCCAGTTCTCTGGAGGTTGTTAAAGTAAAAAGGACTTTTTTCCCCCTGAAGTGGGCCTCCAAGGTATTGCCTCCTTCCAGATTTTGCACTCTCTCAAACAAATGCTTTGAGTTATAAATGGTTATGGTCAAGGTTAGGACCATGGTGAGAGGCCAGAAGCTCAGGCTGCACTACAGAGGTTTACAGAGTCTGCACATCAGGACCCAAACTTGCCTTGGATGCCCTGTTTTTATATTTTATATTTTTTGTAAGGAGTACAGACAAAAGCTATGATTTGGTATTGTGATATGTCCTCTAATGAAAGCACTGTAGAGTCTTCCAAAAGGAAGTGGGATTGATTTGTACCATAAAGATTTGTGGCAAAAAAGTGCCTTGAGCATCGATAAAACATACAGAAACAAAGAAAACATCCGGCATCACAGACTAATATTTCACAGATTTAGAAAATGAGTGGAAGTGAGGATTAACTCTTACTGCATGTAAACCCAACAACAGTTCACTGCCTCTCTGCAGTTGCACACACTGTAGATACATAGACACATTAACATAAACACACACACACACACACACACACACACACACACATAGACCCTTAATAATAGGGATTCTTAATTAGCGAGGAGTGTCTCCATCCTCTGGGTCCACATGCCAGTCCTCCACGGCTGTGACAAGTCTGTCTGCATTAGCATGACCCTCCTCCCTCCTCCTCACTGTCCACTCCGCTGCTCAACACACAACCGCTCAAGCATGGACACCCTGCTAATAATGGCTTAATGTATGTGTGTGTGTGTGTGTGTGTGTGTGTGTGTGTGTGTGAGCAGTCAAAGGTACATGACTTGATGGCTGACACTAACAGTCTGCTAAGAAAAGAGAAAAAAAACTACCATGTGCAAATGTTCTCAATGCATTACCATTTTTTGGTCTGTTCTTGCCAGCAATTAAGGACAAAGGATTATAAAGTAATGCCTGTGCTGTCTATTCAACTACTTTTGTGCATTCATTATTACTTTCTTAATAACATAATTCTTTACTATGTGTTGACAGAACTGTATTGTATACGGAATATTGTTTAAACCTAAGTTAAACCTAAGTTTTTATTTGATCATGTTAAGTTGTAAGATGTAAGTGTATTATGATATTTAACTCAATAAACTAACTAACTAGTCTAATTACATAATGAGACTTTTTCAGACATTTCATTTAAATCAAGGGAAGTGTTGTATATTAATCTTAACATCATATCTTTACATTATATTTTGAATTCAATTATTTGTATACCTTAAAATGTAAACAGAGACATATTCATAGAAAGTAAGCAAATTAAGCAAAGTTTTAGGAGGTTTAACCTCCCAAATCAAGAGTCAAAATTAAAACAACGTTTAATTAGTAAACACCACTGATTACTGTAATCACCAACATAATGAAGCAGACATATCTCATGTTTTGGGTCATTTGTGCTGCAAAGTGGTCATAAACAGCAGCCAGATCTTCAGAAAAAAATATTTTTAGTGAGGAAAAATGGGCCTCTTAATTATCAATAATCTATTTCTACTGATTGCAATATATTACAAAAACACATTTGTCAAAAGAGGAAGTACTGGCTCAAAAAATAAATTAGAACCACTTCCTTACGATCTAATGAAGCCAAAAAGTTCATTCACCGACTTTCATTACCCGCTCACACACACATTTATAAATCTACACGCTCATAATATCACTGTTGAAAGCTGTATATAGGTGACAAGCTACAAAATAGGTGTTGACATTCACATGTAAATACAAACCAGGACGAGCTTGCGTCCGCAGGCGCCAACATGCTCCTTTGTTCGTCTCCAGTCAGATACACTCACCCAGAAACAATGAGGGGGAGGAGGAGGGGGTCAGGGGTATGTGACCAATGCCAACCCACCCTGCTGCCAATGGGGGGGTCAAACCGGGAGGGTCAGAAGACAGTGAAGAGGGTGAAAGGTCAGCAGCACAAGAGTGTGTTTGTGTGTATGTGGGTCTATTGTTTCCCACCAGTGTGTGTGTGTGTGCGCGCGTCTTATTTCCCAATGCTTACATCACTCAGTAAGAGATCCCATTAGTGCTCCATTAACCAAAATGCCAATAAAATTACCAACAATGAAAACTAAATTAAATAGTTATGCCCCAACTTAACTCTTAAACTTGTAAGGGAATTATGCACTCAAGACAATCTGAGGGGAAACGGCAAGAGGATTACGGATTTGAAACTAAATGCAACACACAATAGCTTTTCTGTCTAATTCAATCGATGTAGAGGCAGGTTTAAGTGAGTAGGAATTTTCTCACATGGTGTAAATGGCTACGTTACTGCACGATTATGAAAGTCATTAGGAGAGGCTCTAAACATCTCCGAGCAATTTAGAAAATACTCAAGGACACATGAGGTAATCGCTTTGGGGTGCCAACTGGCTTCAACATGACAGTTGCGATTAAAAAGATTTCCACATACTACACGTCCATGCAAACACATAGAAAATATACACGTCCTGCACATGTACACATATAGATTCATGCAAATAAACACATATGTGCATATGACACGTATATACACACAACTTTTAACTTCTCTCACATCACAGATCTGATCTGACCTCCCCTCCTCTGCACACACACACTCGAGCTGACTCCTCTCACACACCCACACAGCCATTATAACCAGCATAAACAAGTATGACAAGTTGAGATTAATGAAGGGCCCAGCAGTGACAGACCAATTTAATTGTCAACTATGATGGCTGTTGAACTCCAACAGTGTATTTATACAAGGTTACCGTAGTGCCTTAAAATGTTGCTAATTGATCATGACCAATAAGTAATTAGAAAAACTGATCGTGTGTCCTTCCTCCACGTGTCAAAGGCATACACTGTCACGGGGGCACTAAGGAGGGACGAGTGAGCCTGAGAATAATGAGTGGGAAGAGATAGATTTAAAATAATAAGTGAAATGTTCTTACTAGAATCACGTCGGCGGAGAGGCTTTATACTGTAGTTTTTTGCTCCATTTTTTTTGTTTTCAGTCAGTTTTATCCCAGTTTCAATGAAAGACAAGTGATGTGATTTTCTGACATGATGTTACATTTCATGTCAGTGTCTGTGCTGGATTTGGAAAAGAATGTAATACAATAGACAATAGCCTTAATACATAACTCTCTGATAACTCTCTAATTAGTACAATCCATCAATGAATGTGTATGTGGAAATACTTACAATTACAATATTTGCAAATTCTAAGCAGAAATTGGTTAAGAATATTAGCTTAGAAAATAGTGTATACAGCAAGGTATGCACAAAATGTTTGTTAAGTGGAATATAATTCTGTAGGTGTGGTGGTTAATCATTATCCTCTCAGACAGTCAGCGTATACCTGCGCGAATGGCGATGCAAATCCAACTGCTGAATTGGTCTTCCTCACCAACAATTGTGGCCTGGGGGACAGTGGATTAATGCAACATAATGTAAAATGCCAGAGGATTCTTACTTAATTTAGATTGAAAAATAGCAACAAACCTACATTTTACTTCATATAATCTAATTGAAGTAAAAATACAAATAAAGTTTGAAATATTGGAAAATGAAAATGAAATATTTAAGTTACCAAAAAAACAGTAAAACAACGTGGCTCAGAACTGAAACCAAGGAAACGAAAGACAAACTGCAGGGACATTAACAAAGAGTATAAAAAAGCTGACAGTTTGGGCTTTGATCTACTGTTTCTCACATATTACATATCAAAAATACCAGTTTACTGAGTAGATATCAAACCTACAGATCTCTGATTCTTTCAGCTACTCCTTCAAGTTCTTTGAAAACAAAAAAAAATCTGCTCCATCTACCATCTTACCTCTCACTTGTTCTGGCAGCTAGCGCTGGTCCGATCCCAGCCCGGTTCCCAGGAGGTTTTGCTGGGTTATTCTAACCACTGAGAGCTGACAGTGGCCTTGGCTCCCTGGCTTGACTTCACGTCCTCCACTGGCAGCCCAAGGCCTGGCTCACTGGGAAGGAATGTGTGAGAGAAAGACAGTGTAAATAAATACTGTAGGGCCTAACAGTGACACCACAGCCAGAGGACACCCCAGCGTAGACAGGGAATTTGAAAAAATTATCTTGGCGGCCTGAGAGCATGCTGAAAACCATTTTTGCCACCTGTTTTATTTATAAAATGAATATTACGCACAATTTCAATCTGATATAAATAAAGTCACTCTCTTTTTGAATTAGTGAGTAAGTGAACACATGTGTGCATGACATTTACATAAAATAATGATCAGAGTCTGTTTTCTGATCTGTTCTTACACAGAAACAGACATCCAGCCGCATGTGAGCCTTTTCCGAGAAACAGTATAGAACTTTTGATGTGGACTAAATACATTTTTTTCAAGAACAAGTTAGACACGGGTTAAAAAGCAATGGCTTGGTTTGATATGTAATATTCTGCATGGAACAAGACAACAAGCTGTTATGTGAATGTAACATTTGACTGTTGGAAAGGAGACGTGCAGACGTGGAAAGCGAGACAGACAGCACCAGAATGGCAAGGCAACTGTTTCCAAATCATAGGCTTATCACTTTTTTTAGCGTTCTACTATATGTCCATACTGAAAAAATTGAAACAACTAACAAACAAAGTTGAGTTTCATTTTTGTTTCTATTGTTTTATGTCTCTCTTGCAACACTTTATGTCTTTATCTAAGTCACTGTGAGTAATTGAAAAGTTGGGTACATCACTGCAGACATAGGCCACATTCAGACTGCAGTCCAAAGTGACCCTAATCTGTTTTTTTTTTTGCTCATATGTGACACAGATCTATCATGACAGTGTGAACAGCACAAATCACATTGAATCTGATCTTTTCACTTCTGATATGTGCCACTTTCATATGTGGTCCAAAATAGATAGGTCAGATTTTTTTGCAATGCAACCTCAGTGTGAACAGTCATATCAGAATTCATGTGACTTTTACATCACTCTAGATCTATGAGCATCATGCAGGTCACTACAGGACCGTGACCTGTTCACACTGGAATCTGATATGGGGCACATTTAAAAACTAATGTGAACAGTCAAACAAAAAACAGAATTAAGTGCTAAGGTTTGCAGTGTGAACCTAGCCATAAAGTCAATGTGAAAGTGTTACAGAGTAATGTAACAAAACTTCTAGCAATTCCACATAGCACAGCTCAGCATTTCATATGAGCATGCAAAAAATCTGAATGTGAATTGTGGTAATAAATGACAAACGTGAGTATACTGTTTTGTTGTTTTCTCCCCTTTTGAACTTGTGATTTGAAAAAGAAACCGTATTTCTTTGAAGTGAACTTAATGTCAATAATGTATGGTGTGCAAGGATGTTTTTAGAGCTTGAGAATAAAATGTGATAGAATAAGTTTCCTTGTTGCATAATCCTCTTCTATCTTTGAGTATGTCAAAAAAGGACAGGATTTGTTCCCAAAAGAGTATCATTTTGCATTCTGGGACAGTAAGATCTTACTTAAGGTGTCTGTACGTTCTGAAAATATATTAACTGTATGCTCAGTAACATTGAAACATCTTTGAACTGGTGGTCAAAGTGGTGCACACTTTATTGCTGGTGGACCACTCCATCTTCAGACAGGGTGTTTCTGGTAAGAGGCTTATTCATGGCAGCATGGCTACTCAGTCACAGGGTATCAGTGCTGTGTGTATACAAGCTTAAACTGAATGAGACTTAAATCAGGATATGGATACTTGAACTGGACATGACAGTTTGAATGCCAGCCCCTTATGCCCATATTAGGTCATGAATGATGCAGCAGCTATGTGCATTGAGTTCAATGGGAACTCATTCAAAAGAACAGTTTATAATGTAAATGACGCCTTTTAGTGTAAATCATATGTCATACTCTGCATGGAGAGTGCCAAATCACATATCACCTGCTCAGTAAAGCTGCCGCTGAGTTTATATTAAGAAAAGAGAGAAGGTGTTACAACCGGGACGTGTGTAAGAGTAGATTACAACGGATGAGTAAAAAACACCTAGATGTTATTGTAGCACCTTTTTGGGACATTAGAAAATAAACAGCATCAAATGTGAGAGAAGTTCATGCTTGGAAAGGCAAGCTACAGTCTGACCTGATGCTCACATGTTTTCATGTTTTCTTCAGTGGGGGAAACACCTGACAGAGAGCACATTGGATTTTTCTTCTTTGTTTGCATCTGTTGTCGCCTGTAAAGCAAATACACACTCAAGATTTCTCTCTTTGCATTCTAAAACAATCTTTAATCTTAGAGAATGAAATGTTTGTATAGAAGGATATTCCTGAGTCCATATCACTTTTGTTTGATTTGTCCTCCTGAAACTACACTCTGTGAAGCAAAATAAAACTTTTCTACTACCCAGTAGCTCAGACTCCAAAAAAACACTTTAGGTGTGATTGCACCATTAGATGTCATGGATGCTGATTAATTAAAGTGGCGACACATTCAGTTCTAAGCAGATGATGCACATCGCCTGAATGTATTACTCTTTGCCAATAGGAACAATCTCTGTTGCCATTTAAACCTCTGTGACATTATTGATATCCTAGCAGCAAATGCACAACTTTTACATTTGTATGCATCGCTAAAAACATGTGCTCCAGAATTGCTCATGACCCTCCCCATTTTCCCAAGTTGTCTTGGGGCCTGCTGTTAGCGTAAAGGCTAATGATATCTAGGGGGCTGGGTGCGTGTGTACGCATGTTGGTATGGGTGTGTGTGGAGGGGTAAAAGGTGTTCACCCTATCGCTTGCTGAGTTGTTGCTAACCTCTGCAGACACCTAGGTTGAGGGGGGGGGTGTGACCTCACCCCTGACATAGGAGTCAGCACCTGTCACACACATTAACACTCGCACATGCAAACACACAAAGACATGCATGTATAAACGAGTACTGTGCAAAGGCACCATCCAAAACGCTTTTATCTACAGACTTGCACAAATACACATGAACACATGCTCCCCAACCCTGTCTGCCACCTCCAGCTCTCCTGTAGGCGGCCGGCTGGCGAGCACAGTGGGCAGTGTCAGATAAGAGGGTACACACAGGCTATGTTTCATGGTAAGGTGTGTAACGGCAGAGGAAATCAGGGAGCTGATTAAAGTCTTGTTAAGTAAATAAAACATTGGGACATCCATTATGAGAGACCCAGGTAATTAGTGTGTGTCTTGGGTTTAAGTAGGGGAATGTACAGTAACAAGAGCTGTAAAGGAATCCTTTAAAGACTTAATGAACGCACACTGGAGGAAAGTGTAAGTAAAGGACAGGGATACAAAATTGCAAAATGATAGAAAAGATACATTAAGAATCATTAATCAACCCTCTGCAAGTCTCTATCATCCAAAATAAACACTTTGGAAAATATTGAATTTTACAAATCATTCATCAAGTCAAAAAACTTTCTATGGTTTGCACAATTGAACACGACTTTCAGAGCACAAATTGTCCATAGAGCATATCTAGAAAGTAAGAACTTGCCCAGAATTATATCCTTCATGGCGTTTTAGTAACGTTTTGTACCGAGGACACATCTTAATACATTTTCTCAAACAATCTGTTTCACATTCTTGCTCGTTGCTATTAGTGATTCCTTCTATGTTGCCAATAAAAATTGGTTGTATCACCAGCCTCATATAGGCTAGCTGAGGAAAAGTAACAGAGACTGAGAGGTGAAAAGTGAAAAAGATAGATGAGCCAAAACCAATTCAGGCTCTGTAGCTCTCTTGATGATCCAAAATAAGCACTTGACCAAAGCTAACATCATAGACTGGAGCTATATTTATGGTGCAGATAAAATATTTATATAGTGACTCATAAAGTCTGGTCCTGGAAAACAGCTGCAGGGGTATTAGACATTGCAAGATTTTGGCAATTAAAATACTTCATTTCTCTAGCAGGATATGGCATTACACATGGTTTACTATTTAGGTATACAGCATGAAAAAAACAGCTTTGAGCGACATCCAAGCTATTCAAGCTATCATCTCTCCAACTGACTTTCATAGTGTCCTATTTCTTGTTATAGAATATGTGTTTCTGCTTTGTGTGTGTATGTGTGTACTTAACAATTCCCCCAACATATCGTTTAACTTGGTTTATTTGTGTTTCTTTAGTTTTGTGTCTTTTGGTGATTAATTATTTATAGAAGCGATAAAAAAGAAAAATGCAGACTACAATAAAAATACAACTAGAAGACAAAAAATAAGAGAGTGAAAGGATAAAGAAGTATTTAGTGACACACTTAAACAAAGCCAAGAGCAAATATAAACCCCCCAAAAAAGAGCAAAAAGAATGCCGGATCACTATTTTTTGTATTTGTGTGGATAAAGGTGAGTGTACTGGAAGCCATTTGAGCAAGAAATGAGAAAGAGCAGCACATACTGGAAATAAAAAAAGAGGGGGAAAAATGTTATTTCCTATTGTGAGCCAATTCCAGTGAATGAAATGCATTTTTTATTCCTGGGAGTAGTTTGATCTCCCATGAGTAGAGCTTGTCAGATATAATCACTGTTGCCAGATTTGGGGGGTTAGAACTATGAAGAACCTGGAAGTGTATACTGCTCCTCCATCACCCTTCAAGCATTCAATCTGGCATTACTGGCTTTTTGTTGGAAACCAAATAGGACAAGTAAGAGAAAAAAAAAAAGTTGATTATGAAATGCACCAGTCAAACTCCTTAAAACCATTTGTCAGACCGGCTGCAGGAGAGAGCATGACGAAAAACTCTTATCGGGAAATCTTTGTCTTTGCTGGCTCACTAAAACTGCACAACAGCCCGCTTTAAAACTTGATCTTTAGTAAATAATGGATTGTGGTACTATCGAGTACAGAGAGGTGGATCAACCTCGGTATCCCAGACTAAACACTGGCCTAGATGCAGGGATGAGTTATGTCTATTCCAGTCTATAGTTTCATGATTTTGAATGAAAAGCAGCTAATTAGAGATAAATAAATCATGGCAGGCTATCAGTGGCTGTA